ATTGAGCTGCATGTTTCCAGTTGGAAGTGCTGACAGAAAAGGGCTTTGGAGAGATGGAAACTTCCGAACTTATGACGAGAAGCTGGCCCTAAAGCCGATTGAGATTGATGTCGCAAAAAACTAACCCTGAAATCGTCGTTTACAACCTACAACCCTAACACTAAGCGTTGCTGGGAAGGCAATAAACCCTACAAAACCAACAGTGGCGTGATGGGTGGCACAATCTGCACCTTGACGAGTAGGCAGCAAGCCGTGAACCCCATGAGAAATGACGGCAGGCAAACCCGAGGGGCTTCACAAAGCCTTACAAATCTAAACAACTGTCTAACCCGGAAAACAAATGACGGGGGAATGTTCAGCACACCTTGAGCACGAATTCTTGCACTGCAGAAATGAAGAAAGAGTGACTGCAAGAAAACCTGCAAAGAAGTGATGGGTAGCAAAGCCTTTTTGCCCCTGGCAACTAGCAAACCCAAAAGGAGCGATTGTAGACAAACTTGAAATTCCAAATTGGAAAGCCGAAAGCCGGAGCCTTGGCTTTCAGAGGGTCGGCCTGCAAGTTTTTTGGATAAAACAGTCCAACCAGGAATGATGGCAGCAAGTTTTGCAAGAGCCCTTGTAGGGAGTCATGCATAAGAAGCCCGAGCAAAAACACAGAATCCAAAAGGAGAACAACAGTAAGCCAAAAGAGCTGCAAGGAGAGCCCAGTTGCAAATCTTGCGCCGCCCGAGGGCTTAGCCACGGAAGACAGTGTCAAACCCCAAGTTTTCAAATAGCGGTAGCAGTGGAGAGGGGAACGCCGAATCTAACCAAAGCATTCCCAACACCAAAAACAAACCCCCCAGCCGCATTCGAACCCAACGAAGCGGATTATGGCAAAGCTTAAACTCGAAAATCCCTGCCAGCCAACCCTGAACCTCAACATCTTAATGTCTCACACGGTACCGATGGAGGAGAGCAGATTCCAGAGAGAGTCGCGCGATGGCCTAGCCAGCATCCAAAGAATCAAAACCCAGAGTAGGTTTCCTTAACGTCTGTCGTCCAAAGACGGCCACCATGAAACAGTGAACGAAGACAGAGCATCAGGCACGGGGAGAGTAAAAGTAGCCCTTCCACTCAATACACAGAAAGAAGGCTGCATGCAGCCACGCTAGTATCAACTGCCTGTCATGATCCTCCTGCCGGGTGCAATGAGGGGGCATATGCAAACCAAAATGTCATCACGTAAGATCTGCCAGATTATGAGATTGACACAAGCCCCCATTCGTTCAAACCACCAGCCCTGGAACCTCGGGAAGCTTGCTGATGCAAGAGCTGGATGCACAAAGAAAGCCTTTTCAACGAACAAACCGTTTCAACAAACGTGCGTTTCTTGGGCAACAACACTAAGACGATGCAGTTTCATACCACTTCGGTGTGTTGCTTCCGGCACCGCGGCGACTGCCATCTCCAGACGGCGAGCAGACCCACGGCAGCGGTCGACGGATACCTGGCAGGAAACCACGGAGAAAAGCTTTCGCCTCGCAGGGCCTCGCACGGCCGCGCCTGCCGCGCCTGCCGCGAGCCTCCAGACGGCGAAGCCGTTCCACAGCCGTTGAGACCCTGTCAAGTCAGCTGAGACTGTTGGGCACATAAGCTGTGAAAGGGCAGTGCAGGTGGGTGCGCTTGTGTGGGGGCGAACGAAAGCTAGTTAGGGGGACGGACGGGGCAGGGGTGCACTGCAAATGCGGGCTGATGCTGGGAAGCGAACGTGAATGACGCAGTGCTCCTTGTATGCTGTGTTGCGAACTGGTAGGCAAGCGGCTATCCAATCAAGTTTGATAGAGAAACTGAGATTGCATGCGTTGTCTGAAAGCCTAAACCTGTGCTGAACGACTCGTGGCCAAGCTGTTCCTCAATGCACAAAGCAACTCTGAAACGCTTGTATACCCTCCGGCAAACTCGTCGATGCTTGTGCTGGTCAACAACGAGTGGTGGGAAAAGAAGCCTGCCGTGAACGTGAAACAGTCTTAGGCAATTCTGCTGTCTTCACTGCGGCTATGTTGCCGAATGATAGCCACTCTGTTGTTACGTCTATGTCTGTTGTACTGACCCCTTGGGGGGCCTCAAGGCGGGGAAGTGGGCCTCCGGGCAAACCCGTAAAAGAAAGATTGGACCACCAAGACATTTTCTGTGTGATGCGGCGACAACGACCATAAGTCATGTCTACTGTTGCAAGCAGCATCGGGCCAGCCTGCAAAGCAACGAAAACTCTGGCGGCAAGAATCTGGAGTCGCTCGAAATCTGCATGCAGCCTGCAGTAAGAACCGTGAGCCAGTCCCTATCAGATCAAAGCTGTACCTTTGCACCGGCAGAAATCGGCCCAACCTCGCAGATTGCTTGGACAGCTGCCTGCGAAGCGAAGGCAGGCAAAACTCCGGCAATACGGTCCTGTGCTCGGCTGCGGCAAGCGGAGATGAAAGGCGGATGAAAGTGATGGAAGGTGGTACTTGTAGCGAAATCGGACATCCGAGCGGTTGGACGAACCCTGCAACAAGCGATGACGAAATCTCGCGAGCAGCAGACAGCACGATTCACTCATCATTGCCAATCACTGCAACATCTTGCGACCTTACCTCTGATTTCTTGGACCAAGCTGCGCGGCGTGGGAGTATGGTCGCTCGCCCGCGCCCCAATCCTTGTAACAAGTCCAAGCCAGCTGAGTTGGGACATGTAAAGAGAGGCCCAGCCACCCAGCCTTTGGCTGCAGGAACGCATTCTGGAAAGTCCGGATGTCCGACTCGCTGAGGTGCATGGCTCAATCGCACATGACATGACATATGAGTGAAACTATTTTGATCGGAGATTTGATGGTGCAAAGGGGCAGATGCTTGGACTATTGGGACTTGACTTGATGCACATGACAGTGGAAGCAGTGGAAGCAGCTTGATTTTTGATGGCTCAATCCTTGATGGCCTCACGATGCATGACGAGCTTCTGTCAAGTTCCCCGCTCAGCTCCAGACGTGCATAGCTACTTCCAACTGAAAACAAAGCCGTTCCACCTCATCGGCCTCCTCTCCAGGGCGTGCCTGTAACGTGTGGACTCGGTCTTGGGGCAAAGAATCACATCCAGGTCCATACTGGTCATGCAGGACTTCAACATCGCATGCTTTGCCCATCCTGTTCAAGAGCGAAAGGCTGCCTGCCTCCACCAGGTCATCGAGAACCTGCGAATAACATGATCAGCACAAAAGCAGGAGGTCTGAAGATTGAGAACTTGATGTGGCTTGCAGACGAGACAAGCGAATCTCTTCTTTCACAGCCAAATACAGCGACTGCAATCTGCACCGCATCGAAACGAATGCAAGGAACGCGGTGGGCGCAAGCATGCATGACAAATGCAAGAAGGCTCCATAAGACAGCCAATGTAACCAACTGGAGAGGTGTCAACATGTTGCCGTCTGCCAGATTCCATATCTCACCCTGGCACGTTCTCAGTTTGTCACGTCCGCCGCACACTTTCTGGGCCCCATACTGCTTTCACAAGCTCCTCATCGATGATCGGGGTGAAAGCAGCGTCGCTGAGCTCGTGCAGCCGGGCCTTATAGTCATATAAATGCTCATTTCCTCGGTCCTGTCTTTCAAGCTCTCAATCCCAACGGGAAGCGAACTCACTCTTTCTGGATTATTTCAACACACTACAGCTTGGCTAGTTCCACTCACGCACTCGTGCAACCTCCCTCGCGCGTCAACAGTCCTGCATTGACACAGAGGTAACCAGTGCAGCTAGTGATGCAACACGAAAGTTGTTGAGAAACAATCAACCATGTCGAAGGGTAAAATCAAACCTGCATGCTTCGCAATAGCCGGCTCAAAGTTTTGCAGGTATGTAAGATGCAGGTCCTCAACTCAAAACAGCACCACAGAATCCTCTTCGTTGGGCTGCAGCCTCTCTGCACAATTGAATATCTAACAGTGAATCTAACATCAGCGTCTCTCGCAGGTTGCTATGAGAAGACGTCAATGCGAAATGTGGACAAAGTCGGCAAACAAAACAATTCACGTGCACACACTGATTTATGTTTAAAGCAGAACATGAGAAACCAAGCTGGTTGATGTGATGCAGAGTTGGCTTTGGTTGAGCTCTCACGCAGGACATGCATGCCATGATGGCTTGGATTTAAAACATGCCGTTGCTGTTTCTGCTGCAGAAGACCTCGGCACGACTTCCAAACTGGAAGTTTTGCAAACTGAAACCTTTGGTAACCAGATGCTGGCAAACACCGAGCAGTGATCGGGCCCGGACCTTCGTGCGCGTGATGACGTCTTCGACCGCCCGCTCAGGCTCCGGGCCTGGGATCACAGGCACCGACGATCAGAGTCGACCTGTCAAGAGTCAATCTACGCACTACCACACAAATCGGCCATGAACTGAGCGTGCAACAAGTTTCCAGAAAGGATCCGATGAGTTTTGCAGCCTCTGCATATCCCATCGCGTGAAAAATCATGAATCTAAATCACTGACACACGATTTTGGTTTGTGCCTGGGGTCTCAAGCAGTAGCCCAGCACGTTGAACTCTCGAAGCCATGCCTTCCTGATGGCAGGAGCGAAAAGACATCATCGCAAGGCTCCTGGTCCACGCTGCCACCTACGGCACACTCGGGCCGGAGTGATGCATGATGATGCATGCCAACACTTTAAGGTTTTGCTCATAACAGGGCAGCACTGTCGCAGACAACAAGCCGGGACAGACAAATCAGTTAAACCCGTACAAAGTGCGAGCCAGACTCAAGGCGCAATCCCCGTCTGCAACTGCAACTGAGAGCCGTGCTGCTGCTGCATGGTGGGCTGGCTGCTGCTCTGCTACAGGTCCGATATTCGAGTTGAGCCCATTCCAAGCATTTCCTTCTCAAGCCGAACCAATCGCACTTCTACCCAACGGATATGAAACGGCACACCATGTGCACGCAAGCACTGCTGCATGCTGGCTTCCCAACGTGCCCGTTGCCGCTTCTGCCTCTGCTGAAGTCCTCGAGGGTGGCGGGGGCGGCTTGCAAGCCGCCGCCGTCGTCTTAGTCCGTAACGTGCACGAACTCCACGCTTCGTCTCAGCGTGGGGCTTGCACAAACTCCTTCTCGACACTGTGCCCTGCCTTCGTGGCACCGCAACACGATGCAAAGGAACCATGGCAAAGTCCCTTGAACCCTGAGCTCGGCCTCCTTGCCCTTCGAATCTTCGGCATGAATCGCGCCTCTGGCATCCTGCGCTGCAGAGCACTGCCATACCCGAATCTGCGAAGATCTTGGTGGACCCCTCTCCGTGAATGCTGTTACATCTGCATTCTACACATCTTTCAGCTGGCCTCAGCCTGCCAAACCGTGAAAACGCACGAACAACCCACAAAGGAAACACCAGATCACACGGTCTCACAAATCATACAACTGCGGCACGCCGCGGCTTGCACACCCCGGAATTGTAAGAACCGTCATTTACAGCAGCAAAACACGTGAACTGTGTACGCAGGACAGAAAAAGCAGCAGGATCAACTAGTACGGCAACATGGACAGTCCTCGCCGTGAGGTTGTGCATCTTTGGCTACCCCTTCCGCCGAGAACATTGCAGTGTCCTTTGCCAATGGAAGCATCGTCACTTCCAAGCAAGATTGATGATTTCGAGGCGAGGATCCATTCAATCGCTAGAGGACAGAGCACCACAGGCCCACTTCGAAGCGACAGCATGTGGCCACTCCGTGTCACTCTTTGCTACGCTTCACTTCCTAAAAGAGCGCTGCCCTTCCAACACTCCGTCGGCAAAAGAGAGGACCACACATCCTAAACTCTTGGAATCCTCCGCCTCCACTGGCCTCTGCCGAGGCCGGAGGCCGACGGAGGCGTCTAGATCGGCTTCACGAAATCACGTATGATCGCATATCTAATTACTGACCCACCCCCTTTAAGGCAGTTTTGGGAGGCAGGTAGGAGGACCTGTCATTTTGAGGGTTTTTTTGGCTGGTCTGTCCAGGATTTCGGGCTGGGTCCGGTTTGGGTTTTTTGCGCCTCCCTCCGCCCGTTGCCCCCGTCACGCCCCCTTCCGCACCCAGCCCTGCGCTCCCCCGCCCCCCCCCGCCCGCTGCCCCCGCGCTTCCAACGCAATTCCTTCCTTTCCCTCTGCTTCTGTCCCACAGTCCCGAACCCGTCTTCGCTTCTTTGCTGTGTTATGTTTCCTTCCCTTCCCTCTGCATTCTTCCGTGCTTCTTTGCCCTCCCTTCCCCCTGCTGCTGTTTGTGGCATGACTGCACCGGAAGCTGAAAAACTCAATCCCAAGCCCTGTGCATAACCTCACGGAGCTGGAAACGGCTCCGAGGCAGCACTCGCGCTAGCGGACAAATTAACGAAGACAACAAAGACATCCGCTTGGTGAGTCCCAAAGTGCGTTCTCTATCAAGACAGCGGACCGAGCATGTCATATCCTGCTCCGCCGCCAGCTCGCCGAGCGATTCAGCGTGATTTGATCCCAGCATAGCCTTGCCACAGAGACCAAGCTTCGAGTCAGCGAAGCACCGGCACAAGTCGTTGAACACTCTTCTGAGCATGGGTCTTGTTCCGCGGACGGCGTCTCTGTGGCCGTCGTTACAGCAACTGCGGACTCCTCCAGTAAGTGACACTGGTCGCCACTCAACGGACGGTAAGAGGACAGCAGAACTCCTAACATGCATTGATCCAGAGTACATATAGACACGGAGCTGGTCCTCGTGGTCTTGTGGCTCATCTCTGGTCACAGCAGAAGCTTCTTCAGCTTCCGTAGCATCAACAGTCTCCTGTGTCAGTTGCACAACATGCATCGCGAAAGGGCTCAGATTTATCCCTCCACGCCGGTGTTATCTCAAGGTCCGGGTACACAGCCGGCATCGCACCGTTGGGTACTTTGAGCATCGCACCACCGGACCCATTCCAGTTTCCACACCACCGGTCGCGAATCTGAAACCTGGGTTCCAACACAAGCGCTGTCTTAAGCAACACTGCCTTGCTGTGAGACGTTTTGGTCGTCTTCGCTACTACCTGATCCTGTCATCCTTTGGACCACAAAGTCGGTTTCAAAAAAGGGGGCAACTCCACTATACATAAGAAAGATTAGAAAAGGTCTCGCCCTCGCGCGTAAGTGTCAGACGTCAAGCTCACTTTTGATTCGCTCGGCTTTCCACAGCCCCACCCCGAACCCTTTCTCCCTCAGCAACCAACAACCCTGTCTCCAAACACTTCGAACACATGATGTTCTGGTGAAACAAACAATCGAGGTGGGGTGCATCAAACGTGTCGAGCCTAGAGCAACCCAGCATACGCGTCCTGCTCTGGAAGCACATCCACCATCAGCTCACCGAGTAGATCCGCATTTTCCGCTCCCTCTGCGGCCTTGCCACATTCGACACGCTGAATCTGATGGCACATATGCCAGCATGCAAAACCGGACAATCTGCGCTGAGCACTGGTCTTGCTCTGTAGACGGCTTGTCTTTGGCCGTCGCGTCAGACCTCGTTGAGGACTCCTCGGTCAGTACACTCAGGGACCAAGACGAAAGCATAAAACAAAACTGGTCTACATGTCCACGTGTCCTAAGCTAAAGTGATCTTCAGCAATGCACCAAAAAGCCACAAGAACATCAGGTTCCTGTGCTTGCACTGCACTATGAACACGCCTGCAATGGGGAGTGCGTGCCTGAACCCGGAAGAAGTGGCATGCGGTTCATATCTAGCTGGCCTTCTGTTTCGGAACTTTGTCGCCTGTCTACAGTAGGTTGATGTAAGAAGTGCTTCGTTGCCTTGCAGCTGGCGACAGCATCTACATGCAGGATCATGCAGGCATCTAGAAAACCTAAAAACGATCTAAACAGCCAGTGCCTTATTGCTACATGTACATCTTCGTCTCTATACCTGGCTCACTGCGTGCTTTCTTCCCGCCAAGCCAGACCAAGAACAGCTGTCCGGAAACCTGTGCCTACTGAACGCTCGCTTGCGCTTTCCACAGTCCCACCCCGAACCCTTTCTCCCTAAGCAACGACAACCCGGTATCCTTACACTTCAAAAAACAATCGAGGTGGGGTGCATCAAACGTGTCAAGCCTAGAGCAACCCAGCATGCGCGTCCTGCTCTGGAAGCACATCCACCATCAGCTCACCGAGTAAATCAGCATTTTCTGCCCCCTCTGCGGCCTTGCCACATTCGACACGCTGAATCTGATGGCACATATGCCAGCATGCAAAACGGGACAATCTCCGCTGAGCACTGGTCTTGCTCTGTAGACGGCTTGTCTTTGGCCGTCGCGTCAGACATCGTTGCGGACTCCTCGGTCAGTACACTCAGGGACCAAGACGAAAGAATAGAAAAAAATTGGTCTGAATGTCCACGTGTCTTAAGCTAAAGTGATCTTCAGCAATGCACCAACTATGAACACTCCTGCAATGGGGAGTGCATGCCTGAACCCGGAAGAAGTGGTTTGCGGTTCATATCCAACTGGCCTTTTGTTTCGGAACTTTGTCGCCTGTCTACAGTAGGTTGATGCAAGAAGTGCTTCGTTGCCTTGCAGAAAATCCAAAAACGAACAAAACTCCCAGTGCCTTATTGCTACAAGTACATCTTCGTCTCTGTACCTGGCTGACTGTGCGCATAATGCCATGCATGGAAGAAGTGCTTTCTTCCCGCCAAGCCAGACCAACAACAGCTGTCCGAAAACCTGCCCGTCGAAGTGTGAGACGTCCAGCTCACTTTTGGTGTGCTCGCTTGCTTTCCACTGCCCAACCCCGAACCCTTTCTCCCTCAGGAACCAACAACCCTGTCTCCAAACACTTCAAACAAATGATGTTCTGGTGAAACAAACAATCGAGGTGGGGTGCATCAAACGTGTCGAGCCTAGAGCAACCCAGCATGCGCGTCCTGCTCTGGAAGCACATCCACCATCAGCTCACCGAGTAGATCAGCATTTTCTGCTCCCTCTGCGGCCTTGCCACATTCGACACGCTGAATCTGATGGCACATATGCCAGCATGCAAAACCGGACAATCTCCGCTGAGCACTGGTCTTGCTCTGCAGACGGCTTGTCTTTGGCCGTCGCGTCAGACATCGTTGCGGACTCCTCGGTCAGTACACTCAGGGACCAAGACGAAAGCATAAAACAAAACTGGTCTACATGTCCACGTGTCCTAAGCTAAAGTGATCTTCAGCAATGCACCAACTATGAACACTCCTGCAATGGGGAGTGCATGCCTGAACCCGGAAGAAGTGGTTTGCGGTTCATATCCAACTGGCCTTTTGTTTCGGAACTTTGTCGCCTGTCTACAGTAGGTTGATGCAAGAAGTGCTTCGTTGCCTTGCAGAAAATCCAAAAACGATCAAAACTGCCAGTGCCGTATTGCTACAAGTACATCTTCGTCTCTGTACCTGGCTGACTGTGCGCATAATGCCATGCGAGACATGGAAGGAGTGCTGTCTTCCCGCCAAGCCAGACCAACAACAGCTGTCCGAAAACCTGCGCGTCGAAGTGTGAGACGTCCAGCTCACTTTTGGTGTGCTCGCTTGCTTTCCACAGCCCAACCCCGAACCCTTTCTCCCTCAGTATAACCAACAACCCTGTCTCCAAACACTTCAAACAAATGATGTTCTGGTGAAACAAACAATCGAGGTGGGGTGCGTCAAACGTGTCGAGCCTAGAGCAACCCAGCATGCGCGTCCTGCTCTGGAAGCACATCCACCATCAGCTCACCGAGTAAATGAGCATTGTCTGCTCCCTCTGCGGCCTTGCCACATTCGACACGCTGAATCTGATGGCACATATGCCAGCATGCAAAACGGGACAATCTCCGCTGAGCACTGGTCTTGCTCTGAAGACGGCTTGTCTTTGGCCGTCGCGTCAGACATCGTTGCGGACTCCTCTAGCAAGTGAGCGGCTCCCCAGTCTCGGGAACTTTCTCAGAACACGTAGCATACAGAATAGTCGAGTAAGGCTTCAACAACACCTACTAGTACCGATGTTCTTGGTGGACACTTGCAGAAACTCCCCATGAACGATCGCCCGGTTACTCAGTAGCTCCGAATTCACGCGCGAAGAATCACAGTCCTCACCATCACAGTCCTTGCAACTGCGATCCCGTGATCAGAACGGCCCATCGCTCCGCAGCGCGTTTACCAAGGGACATGCCCGCTGGACCCAAAGCCGGGCATCCGTTGCAAACAGCCAGCAGACTAGTTGCAGTTCGCCTACCGTGAAACTGCACAAATCGATGCCGGCACCCTGCGTTTGCGAGCCGGCAAGATCAGCAACCATCCTGCTCCGCCGCCAGCTCGCCGAGCGATTCAGCGTGATTTGATCCCAGCATAGCCTTGCCACAGAGACCAAGCTTCGAGTCAGCGAAGCACCGGCACAAGTCGTTGAACACTCTTCTGAGCATGGGTCTTGTTCCGCGGACGGCGTCTCTTTGGCCGTCGTTACAGCAACTGCGGACTCCTCCAGTAAGTGACACTGGTCGCCACTCAACGGACGGTAAGAGGACAGCAGAACTCCTAACATGCATTGATCCAGAGTACATATAGACACAGAGCTGGTCCTCGTGGTCTTGTGGCTCATCTCTGGTCACAGCAGAAGCTTCTTCAGCTTCCGTAGCATCAACAGTCTCCTATGTCAGTTGCACGGCGGCCCAATGCAAAGCTCTCCAGTCTCTCGCTCAACCAACTGTGAGAACGACATGTGGGAAGAGGCTTGGGGCAGCCTGTTGCACCGTGGGAACCCCAAAATTTATCCAGACTGAGCGGTTCACTGCCAGCCTCTGAAGTTGTGGGTATGCAAAGGGTAAGTTCGGGTGGTGATCCGCCGAGGCCAAAGGCCTCTGGCGTCTTGATGGTTAATACTAACCAACCCTCTACCTAGTCCTTCTCCCTGCAGCCCAAATGCAAACTTCCACCCGCTTTTAGCGACTGTTTTCGACCCCCTTGCCCGGCTTCCGTCCTTTTTTGCTGCCGAATTCCCCTCTCCTGCCCCCCCCCCCTCCCGGGCCCCGCCTTCCTCTCCCCCGCTCCCCCACCTCCCCCCTCCCCCCCCCTCCCCCCCTCCCCCCCCCCTCCCCCCTCCCTCTCTCTTCTCCACCTCCGGCCCGTCCTCCTCGCTCGTTTTCCTTGTTTGGTTCCCCGCCCTTCCGTCTTGTCCTGCCCTCGCGTGTTTTTTCGGTTGCCTGGTCGTTTTCTTTCACCTTTTCTTCTCTTTCGGCCTGCCCCCGGCTCCACTGTCTTTCCTTCTTATGTTTCGTTTGTGTGCTTCTTTCCTGCTTCCTCGTTGAAGCTCTCGTTTTGCTGTTTTGTTGCCCCTCGCCCCCGCCCCCTCAGCCCTCCTCCCTCCCCTCCCCGGCCCCTTTCCCCACCCTTCCGTCTTGTCTGCACTTCTTTTGGCTTGTTTTCATTCCTTTCCCCCCCTCGCCGTCGTGCTGGCCCCGCCTTCCTCTTCCGGCCGGCCAGTCCACCCTTCCGTGTTGTCCTGCCCTTGCTTTGGTTTTTTCGGCCCGCCCCCTCCACACCGGCTCCACTGCCTTTTCTTCTTATGTTTCGTTCGTGTCTTTTGACTCTCTTGCTTCCTCGTTGAAGCTTCCCCCCCCCGACCCTTCCTCCCTTCCCGGCCCCCCTCTCCCCGGGCCTTCCCCCGGCCGCTTTTCCTCCCTTCCGTCTTGTCCTGCCCTCGCGTGTTTTTTCCATGGCGACTTTTTCGTGCCCTTCTTTTTGGCTTGTTCTTCCCCCCCCCCCCCGCCCCCACCCTTTCTCCTTCGGCCCCCCCTTCCTCCTCCGGCTTCCCCTTGTTTTTTGTCTTCTGCCTGCTCGTTTTCTGTCACCTTTTCTTCTCTTTCGGCCTGCCCCCGGCTCCACTGTCTTTTCTTCTTATGTTTCGTTTGCTCGTTGAAGCTTCGTCGTTTTGCTGTTTTGTTGCCCCTCGCCTCCCGGCACCCCCCCCGACCCCTCCTCCCCTTCTCCTCATTTTTTTTGCATTGTTGGTCCCCCAGCGACATGACACGGATGCTCTGTGTTGTTGGTTCTTCTCACTACGGGGTGCTTTGCGCGCCTGCTGCCTTCCTTATAAATGTGATAGCCGCTTCTCAGGCTCCCTTTCCAGAATCAAACCCTCGGTCTCTGTTCCCCGTTCTTGCCACGATAGGCCCATGCCCTGCCGTCGAAAACTGCTAGGTCGAACACTTCAAAGGCGCGTCGTCGGCCAGACCACACGACTCGTCCACTTATCATGCATCACCAGGACCAAGCACTGGCGTTGCTTCTGTATCTCATTCCTGCAACCCTTCTGCGCACTTGGGTTTTGCTGCATGTGTTTGCTCTACACTTGCCACACTTCTCCGAGTAGCCCTGCCCCTGCAACTAAATTACACCTGCTTTAAGAGGCCCTTCGCAGTTTGGCCCCTGCTCTGCGCCCCTGCTGGCCCTACTGCACCCGGCGGCCGAGGCGGGCTGCGTAGCAATAGAATTAGACAATGCTTGTGGGGGAATGGCTCTCAAAACACGACCAGACAACTTGAACTGTGCCCTGTGAAGGCGCTGTGTGAGTAGAGGCGGTGAGGCCAATCCTCTGACCGCTTCGATGCGTATTGTCTGTGCGTCGGGGGGTGGTGGTGAGGACTTTGGTGTAGCAACTAATGGCCAGTGTCGTAAAGCATTTCCTCGCTTTGCCTAGCCGCGTTGTGACTTCGGTTTTGCTGGAGCTGTCATCCTAAAAGATTAGGCTGATTCGAAGCCACACAAGGGAAATAAAGGCTTCTCTTCATTATGCTGTTTTACTCAGCTACATCTCATGAAAAAGTCCACTGATGTACTTTCACCTTGGGCCCTGAATGTTCGACTTCGCGATTCGCGATAGACGACGCTCAGGAATCTAGGAACACTGTCAGCCTGTCTCCAGGCTCCGGCACACGGCACGAGACCAAGCTAATGGCTGCCCTCTAGAGTCTGGAGAAACCCAACATGTCACGTCCTGCTCCAGATCCACGATTGGCTCAATCTCACCGAGAGACACCTCAGGCACAGCCTCAGTGCGCAAAGAGACAACCAGCATTGGCCCAGGCTTTGGAGACCACCAGCTTGAGCGCCGGTCTTGCTCCAAAGGCGGCTCTGCGTCGCTCACTGCGGTCTCCTCGAGCGGATCTTCCGTGCAGAGACACAGCATCTCATCTACACTTTCTGTTTCGCCAGTAGCTTCTTCAGTCTGTTATGAAGAGAGAGAGAGAGAGAGAGAGAGAGAGAGAGAGAGAGAGAGAGAGAGAGAGAGAGAGAGAGAGAGAGAGAGAGAGAGAGAGAGAGAGAGAGAGAGAGAGGGGGGAGGGGGGGGGGGTGTCTGAACGGCTCAACAAAAACTGCAGACGTGTAGCATTGCAGAAACGGACAGCTCAAAATGAAGCTCCTGATTCGTCTCTTCATCCACAACAGCTGATTCCTGAAGGTCTGATCACTAATTGACAGTCAGAAGTTAAACTTGCATTTAGGGTTTCGCTAGACCCGAAGTTAGTGAAACCCGAAATTAGGGTGCATTAGGGTTTAGGTTTAGTTAGACCCGAAATTAAGGCGAAGCTAAACCTGAACTTAGAGGTTTAGTTCACAAATTCAGGCTTGAGTTAAGCCCGAAATTCATTTTTAGTTAAAACTCCAGCAAGTCTTGACATCGCTCACCCGATGTGTCTGTTCTCAGCAAAATTGAAAAAAGATGCACACACTGCCCCGCCGAGCTTTGGTTTCGTACGGCCCCGTGGCAAGAAGCGGGCACACTGTGTGGGAATCAGCCACTTTGCTGAACATCGCACTATCTCGCTCATGTCTGGATGGCCACAATCAAACGCTGCATCTTGAATTTATGCCTAAGTGAGCCCTTGAGGTCAAGGGGATTCAGCTTTTTGCATTCTGCTTTAGGCATCTTCTTCTTGCTCAGTTCACTAGTGGAGCCTCACCTCGGTTTTGCCTCTCCATGGTGTCTGTGGTTTTATGCTTAACACCGAGAATGACTCTGCGCGACAAGCTTACTTTCGCTTCGGAACAGCGAGCACCACTTCCACGTCGCACATCGCAGGAAGAACACAGCACGATTCATAGGACACAGCAGACTACCCCACGGCATGTTAATGTATGCTAGCTTGCGGATGATTCTTGACCGACCGATAGTCCAAGGACGGCTCTTACGCAAAAGTAGTTGTAGCGTCTTAGAGCTGTACAAATTCCTCTCTGTATGGTACTTTTTGTCGCGTCTGACTGCTCTTGCTCAGGAAGCAGTTGCAGAGTGTCCCTTAAGGATCTGCCGGCGAGGCACCTACACAATGTGCAACATTCAATGATGTAACCGTTGTCCAGCTGCATATCGGAACTCGGACAGAAAACGCACATTTTCGCCAGCCTGCTGAATCTCGAGGTCCAGGTCCTCGTGTCCCCAGCCATCTGTCAGCAGCAGTCTTGCAGCTATTGTAAAGCAACCCGCAATACGCGTCATCCGTTCACGCCCTGCACTTATCCACGACCTGGCAGTTCTTCTCGCCTGTTTCTTGCTGGAGATCTCCGGGCAGGTCATCTCAAAATCTAACTGACGTGCTTGCATGTTTTTAGTCTATTGAACGACTGGGGCTTAGCAGCCTGAATGCAAGAGTCAGCAGAAGCCTTCTTCTGCATTGTCCGCCAAAGCTTCGTCAGCACCTAAGAGGTGCAGCCGCACGAATGAGAAGGTGCAAGCACTCAGGGCGGTGTTTCTGCTGTGGCTCCCGCTTCTTCTAACTGTCCGCTGGTCAAAACCAAGGAACACAAGATGCAACCATGAACAAAAAACTGCAGACTGAAATCCTCGTGCTGGGTGCGAAAGAATTTCGTGCTTACTTCACACACGAAAATTGATATCTGAGATTCTGCTATCGTGCCGCAAGCACTTCTACAGTCTGCACCGGACCAGTGCGCCCGTGCAGTTTTAATGCAAACGACTGGAAAGTCGCATGCGGCTGCAGGGGATGTTGATTCAGGAAGTGGCAAAAGCGCATGGATTACAAACTGCAAAACTCAGCCCACGGCGATGCTCTGCCGTGCATGGTGCAGAGCCTTCTGAAACGAGAACTTGCAGAGCTGGAGCATGTTGACCGACGGCTGAAGCCGGTTCGCCTTGCGTACGACGTCGAATACAAACTAAATAAGATCTCCACGGAGTGCCATTTCAGTATTGAAGAGCGATGCCTTGTGGAACTCCTTCGTGGGGCTCAAAAGTCAGCGAAATCTGCACAAGCAAGGGATCAGCCGAAACGATGAGAAGCCGCGAGACGCCCCATATGTCAAAACAAAGCCCCGTAACATAGCGTGCAGGTTTGTTTGGAAACACTCTTTGTCACTGAGCTATGGTGCTCTCTCGTACAAGCTTCGTGCCATCGTGCTGCAACAGATGATTTTCAGTACCATCGAGCCACCGGGCGGGCTTTGCCTTGGATCCGTTTCCTGGGCAACAACAGCAGTGGCGTCAAGGCGAAATTCGAATCTGCAATGTACTCGTCGACAAAATCCCAAACCGGATCCGAAGGCCTCAGACTCCCTCTCATTCCCACCAAAGGGCCGAATCAGCCTCTTCACGCGGGCATCTCCTGTCGCAGGTGAATCCTCAGGGGTGAAAGATTGCCAATCATTTCATCTTTGCAGCTTCGTTTGAAGAAACTGTTGCATCAACCATGTGCTTCCAATCACGTTTGCAAGTCTGTGGCATAAAGCAGCATCCACACTGCATCTAATCCAAGCTGTTCCGAACTAAAGAAACAAGAAACGCTGTCATCAAGTTGTATGCCAAACAATGAATGCTGAAAGTTACGGTTTTTTGCGGTCGTATTTCCGCAAATGTCGTGAGAACCTATATATGGTGCGCGATGCATGCAATGAGTTCCTGGCATGTCGGCAAAATCACAACATGTCAAAACATCGGCAAGCGAGGGCTTTTCAGGATCTTGGCATGAATCAATATTGCTGATGGGGTTTACGGCTTGTTAGTTTTGCTATTGATTTTGTTGCTCCAAAGCTGTGTGTGAATCTGGGTCTTCACCTTCATCCTCATCTTCATCTTCGTCTTCATCTTCATCCCCATCCTCATCCTCATCCTCATGGACATCTTCATCTTCATCTTCATTTTCATCTTCATCCTCATCCTCATCTTCATCCTCATCTTCATCTCCCGTCTTCATCTACATCATCCTCAAAATGCACGATACATAGGAACGTTCGACTTCAAAGACAGCTTTGTTTTTGGGGACGGCTGCGGTTGTTGAAAGCAATGTAAGCAGTGCAAACAGCTTCAACCTAGGTGGCATTGGCGCCCCTCCCCACACACACACACACCCCCACGCCCACGCCTCGGCAACCCCACCATTACTTGAATGCCCGGTCCGAAGTTAATCAAAGTGCACGAAACAACGTAAATACCCAATCTGAAGCCAGAAACATGTGCAGAACCGCGTAAATCGTGGAAAAATAAGAAACTGGAAACTCTTGAGAAAACCCACGAAATTTGCGCAGCCCCAAACAGCAAAAGCATCGTATACATGCAATCCAAACGCAGAGTGCAAACACATAATATCCCACTCTCCTTCATGGCAAACGTCACCAATTCAGTGGTTGCTGGTTTCCACGTGTGCCTGGGACTGTGTGCGCGTGTCCCACCCGGTTGAAGAGGATGCCACTGGACCCCTGCATACATCAGTTGCCGGAAAAAGCTGGGGGTGGCTGTCAACGCAAGTTTCGAAATCAAAAATGCGTCTGAGCTTAAAGCGGCTGACATTACACGAAGTTTGGACGAACACTCTCTCCATTGCCTGCTTGCTGGAGAATTTCAATCCATCCTGTTCACCCGAAGCGTGTCCGAAGGCGTGGTCATTACCAATGACCCCAGAGCCTGCCGACAAAGTAAAACCGATTTGGATTCAGTGCGCAGCAACCTGCATGGCTCCAGTGGGACTGTGCCAAGTTCATGCAGGTCAAGACCATCAACGACAATGTTCCTCGCTTCTGCCAGCGTCTTCAGTCAAGAGGAGTCGCAACGAACCCAACGGAGGCTTGCAGCTGCTGGGATACATCTCCCATCCCCCAACAAAAAGAGGGCACCGCCATCTCGGCGGTCTCCGGGAGTCTCGGCAGCAAGCCTCACCTCCACACAACAGATTCAACTCCCAAAGGCGCTGATGTGATTGAGATTGAAAAGCCACCTCGCAAGCCTGTGTCTGGATTTCCTATTGTTCCTTCGCTGCAAGCGTATGATAAGGGGCTCCGCAGATCCGAAACAACATTCCGATGTTTAGGAAGCATATCACCAACACCACAACCATTTCGGATCAGTCCCAAGCGAGCAAAAAAACTTCGTTGATGTCGCCACCAAGTATGCGCTCAATTCGAGGATTGCTTGCAGAATGGCAGTCAAGAGCCAAGAGCTTAACCATCTTTATTGCGGCATGCCAGTTTGAAACTGCTTGGCTAGCGGAACAAGCAAAACAAGCACAGATAATCCCCCATTGTGCGAAATACCTTCCGTAGGCAGCGCTCTCTACCGGAGCTGTTGCGTCATTTCTCCTTGAACGTGGGGACGATACCCCTAAAGCACCACTGTTATGCATTCTTTCTGTTATGGTAATGGTGCTCCTTTTTCCATTTGGAACCTCCGGGATCGGAAGATGGCGAAGACTCTCATCGCATCCAAGTCGTTCAGAAATTGTCTTCGTTTGGGTTCGACCCAGATGAACTGCACTTCGACAAGTTTTCCTCTCTTTTTGCAATTTAACGTTGCATGTTTCCGGTATCTTTTGAGACCACGAAGCACGCTTCGTGGTACATGCAACACCGCTAGTTGCCGTACGCTGGCATGAGCATGCAGCACAGCTCAGAATGTCACCAAGAGGCACCTCAACAGGATGGCTGTATATCGCCGACTAGCCAAAAACAAACATGTCGATGCTGAGCGTGCCATGAGATATTGGGCATCGCAGCAAACAAAGTTTTTGCTCCATTGGATCATTACGCTGATTATCATCACGATTGGGTCATGGAACAGTAAATCATCGCACGATGGCAATCACAGTTGGGTTTTCCTGTTGTCAGGCAGTTTGGCATGCGATCTTTGTGCTTCGGCGCTGGCGAAAGCACTTCGCAAGAGACGACGAAGAAGCTTCTCTTCAAAGAACTCCCGGAAAGCAATACAACCTGAAACGGCCTGTATGATCTGGCCTCGTTTACCAAAGCATCTTTTGAAGTGGATAAGTATATTCGGTCCAGCCGAGTGTTTGATGATGAGTCTATGCCATCAAACTCAACAAGCGTGTGGAACAGCCTGTTCGAAGTCGCACTCGAAGGCTTTTACATTCTGCTGTTTCGCGAGAGCATGCATTGGCCCTGCTGGTCTTGGCCATTGTCCGTGCTGCCTGGTCACTGTCAGGAGTACCGTTCACTCCTTCCCCAGGAGAGCTTCGTGGAAGCCAGGTTGCCACCAGCCTTGAGTATTGAGTATTTTTGCTGCGTGAACCGGAATTTAAAGGAGCATCGCACAACCAAGTGCAAACCAGTACGGCTGCCTTCCGCCTTGTTATACAGCAACGGCAGCAACAAGCTGCGATCATTGCGAACAGCGACAGGCTCGCTTGGAAGTCAGTGCATCAGGTCAAAGCCGAGTTGCACCGCCAGTTTGCACGGTGAAGACCATCATCCAAACCACGTGGCGTGCTGTTGCCCGCAGGGTTTCTGCGAGAAGCAGTCTCACCGCCTAGAACCACAAAGATGTTTCAGAGCCTGAGCATTGCAACACTCAA